TGACTCACGATGATTTCTCTTCGTGTGTTTCCTGCTTCCATTTTTTTTATTATTATTTTTTATTACAGCTTGATGCCACACCGTGTTTTCAGTACAAGTATGGCATTTTCAGCATGGATATCGGTAGCCCAAATTTTGCAGGCCGACCATAGATATCGGGAGTGCGTCGGTAGGGGTTCGAACCCCGGACCATGTGCGTGGTCGGCGAGAGTCCTAACCACTGTGCCTCCGACGCACATTTTGACTTCCAGTCACATTACCCATAGGAATTTTGGTATATCTATCGAATTGGGTCTTGTCCATTACCGATTGCAGTTGTCTGCGATCCCAATATAGAATATGTTTATTTTTTTAAATTCCTTTTTGTGCTTAGAGGTTTCTGTAGCAGTTGGACTGAATTCCCAGGATAGAGTCGCTAGTCTCATGCCCAACCTTCGCTTTTTCCCGGCTAGTGAACTAACAAACTAGGCAAGGTTATATATACATGTATATCTATATATCGATGTGAAATGATAAAATTTGGATGTAACCATAAAATTGGATTGCATTCTGATCTGATTTTTATTGCAAATTGCACTTAATTTTGACGCCTATTTTAATGCAGTCCTCACTGATTATCATTTGATGAATTTCCTGCTACCGCTGTTTTTAAAAAATCAGTTTTCCTTACCTTTCAGTGGAGGCTTCTAATTCTTTTTTCATTCCTTGTATTCCAAGTGAAAAATATGCTTTAAGTCTTTGAAGTCTCAGTAGTGATGGTGTTGGTGGTCTTACGACCAAACTTCTTTCTTTTCCGGGATTACTACCGGCTACTTAACTAGGCCTGGTTTATGAGTGAATCAGCAGGAATCGAATCCATAATCCCACTTGCATGTTTGGTGACCACTTTACCAGTGAACCACTGACACACCAGAAGCTAGCAACATTCAGTATTTCCTGCCAGCTGAATGTTGCGTAAATTTAATGACAGAATGAAAACCAGCATTTCCAATGTGGCATGTTCTCAGATAAAGCCTTATCCATTAGACCATGGGGCTTTAAATACTATGAAGAATTCCTGACTACTTGTTCCACTTTTCCATTGTGTATACTAGTCCTCTTCTAGACACTTGTAACTGCAAGGTTTGCTTTTTTGATCGGCTAGATATCGGTTCACTGTACGTGTTCATTTCATGTCTTCTTTCGGTTTACTGCACTAAAACAATTATCACAGTAGTATAAATAACGCAACACATGTTTCTACTAATTGTTTGTTCATTCAAAGAGTTAACTACTAAGGCGGAAGAGGCATTTAATTAAAGTGATTTTTTTTATTCACCTGAAATCATTCTTACTGATTATTATTATTATTACTCGACTACCATTGTACATTATGACTGTCTTCAGAGAGGACTGATAATTTGCCAGTTGACTTAATTATTTATTAAGCGCAATGCGGTATTCATAAATGCTAAGTGTCGACATCCGAAATTCCTTTGGTGTCATATATGCACCTATGTAGTAGCACTTTTTAACCCCACCACTTTTATTCCCCAATATGCCACCGTATCTTTTTTCATAATCATGTTAAGGAGACTGGGTAGTCTGCTCACTTAGTTTGTGTAGTTCTGTGCTTTTTCATTCCCTAAATTTATGTTAACAACACTTTCTATATCTTTCTTATTGAAGTTATTTTGTCACTAGTGTACTGCCTAGTTGTTGATTTAAAGAAGAAGCATTCTTTGGGTAATATCTTCTTCCATATAGCTATATTACTGTGTACAAGTATTACTCTCCCTCTCTCGGTCGGTCGGTCGGTTTTCGACATAGAACTTTGCACATATGTGCGGCAGTTCAAGTCGCCACAATCCATGTAGCACACAAAGCAAGAGAAGAAATTAGGAGAAATCCATAATATAGACAGTAAACAGAGGTGTGAGACAAAGGAATAGTAATAACGAAGAACAAAACAGTTTAATTGGAAATCATAAGTCACAAGGAGTGGATGTATCTGCGCCACTGAGAACGATTTTGAGCCATGTCACCAATTGTTTCCAACCATTGGTTTTTACCGTCCCGAGTACCCCAACCAGGAAGTCTACACCTACTTACGTGGCTTAGACTAACTGTTGTGGATTTCATTGACTGTTGCTATATTTTCGTTTGACTGCCGCTAGCTCTTTTCCAGCCTGGCCCTATATCAGCTAACATTGCCCGTCGAGGAAGGCGATGACTAGGCATGCATGCGTAACACATGTCCTAACCATCTCAGTCGATGTAATTTCACAGTCTCGTCGACTGATTTCCCCACCTTACCTAGCACTCGACGCCTAACCTCAATATTGCTCACCTTATTATACCACTTCACACGGGAGATAGAACGCAGACACCTATGATCGAAGACAGGTAATCTTTTCATGTCTTCCGCTCTCAATGGCCAGGTCTCACAGCTAGCCATAAAGGAGGACGGAGCGGACTGTTGAGCAGTACACCCGCCCTTTGGTCGATAGTCGGATATCACGTATAGGCCAGAGACGGCGTAAACTGGCATATGCGAAACTAGCCCTCTTTCTCTCTTAGTCATGCTGTCCCTCATATTTTGTATGCTATAATGTGTCATCCAGATACTTAAATTATACTGTTAAGATTTGCCTCAAAATTAATTCATATAATCCCTCTACTGGTTTATTTGATTTTTTATCTTTTTTGTATCTTAAGTTAAATTACAAAGGGGAAATTGCAGCTGACATTCTAAAATGTCGACTTAATAGAGCAGTAGATAGAACATTTTCTGCAGCTAAACTGGCATTCAACTTCTCAACTAAACCAGTACTCACACAGCAAGTCAAGGATAAATTACCAAAGATGGCCTCATCAATTTCTATCTATGAATTCAACTGCTCATGTGGAGCCAGTTACATTGGCCGCACTCAGAGGGCTTTATCCCATGCGCGCACGTGAAAATGTACCTGTATGGTTGAGTAAAGGAGTAACCAAGTGAATAAATAGTGCAGTCTTAGCCCACTTGGTAGATAATGGACACCCGATAAGACTTGACCAGGAGTTCTCAGTTATTTACCGCGTTCCAGGTAATCTATTTAGAGGAGTTCGACTACGTCTTCTATCCGTAGTTAAAGCGGTTGCAATCAATACCAGAAGACCAACTCTTTGCATACAGAAGAAGTATGCTCAACCTCTATGTTTACCTTGTCCTACAATAACGCCAACAAATCCTCCATTAACACTATAAATTCCTTTCACAATTTTCTTTTCTTTTCCTCTTCTTCTATTCCTCTATTTCATTGACAAACGTTCATTTTCGACTTTTTATGATTTCATGACCTTTCTTATGATTTTATTACCCTAGGTTTAAGTAGTGCTTTTCTAACTTGCTATCGTATTTACAAAATCCTGTTCATTTCACTTCATTATATTAATTATTATTATTTTCAACCTTGAACGTATGTCTAGTCTGCCCATTCGTTGTGTGAATATTTTTTGAACTACCAGACAGCAATTAGTACATTAGTAGTCAGTGTTTGGATTGCACTGTGTTTTTAACAGATGTATTTCAACACTAAACAAGTCTCATCTGGTGGTTCATTCTTCTATAGCTGCATAAACTATTAAGATATTGTCAACTCGTAAGATTTTTTCAAGTTATATCACTAGCCGATGTCAGTTAGAGAACGAGTGAAGAAGATTTCTGTCATCACCAGTAGGGTAGGATGCAACAACAAACACTCACAGATGACTAAGACTGACGGTAGAGCTATATATTTGGCGAGTCGGTAGAAGTTAGAATTCACTGAACCACCAATGGGTTTCTGTCCCACTGGGTGAACGGTCAACAGGACAGCCTTGAAAACTGGACGTCTTGGGTTCGATCCCCAGCGATGTGACGGTTGAGTACCTCTGAAGAATTCCAGACCAGGACGAAGTGACTGTTCAGTGATCTGTGGTTTGAAATGATTCTCTCACTAAAGCCACTGTGTGCTCTAACTCGAAACCAATCAATTCCCTGCAAACTAACACTTGAGAATTAACAACTCAATATATCAACATAGTAATCTGTCACTGTATAAATAAAAGTTATCAAGCCACAAATACGAATCCCAGTTATTCCGAACAACTCAGAAAATCAACTATGAAACATTATAAAGAACAAACTGAAACTAAACAACTAAAGTATTCAAATGTAATAGTATAAAGATCAGTATTATGTTTGCGACTGCTTATAAAACATGACGAAATGAGATTGCATTTAACTCATTTAACATACTACATCTGTCCCTACGATTTGCATTAATTCCCAGTAGCCTTATTCTGTTCATGCATTATATTTATTGTTATTGACCTAGTGAAATGAACGTTACACTGACTGCTATCTTGTTCTTTCTTCAACCATCTTTGCTACCACATTCCTATCCTTTATTTGTATTCATACGCTTTTCATATTGTTCGCCTTTATTCCATCGACTGATTTATTGGTTAATGAATTGATTTTTCATCTGTGGAGTGCACTCAACCACAAATCACTACTGGTTCTTTCTTTCATTTAATCGATCTGTTTCTCTCAAAGAAGCACCGCGACTAGAGGTTGTTACCATTATAGTTTTAGTTATAATCTTATTTATAGTATGGTGATTCTGTCCTGCGCTCTAACTCAGCCTTTTAACTTCAGTTCACTGAGATCTTAATGTCACATAACACTAGAGCGAGGATTGAATTAATGAGTCTATAATTAGAGAAGTTCAGTAAAATTTAAATTTCTATATGCCTCTAAGTGTTAAAAATACTATGGGATTTTTCCATACTCCACAACTTTTGATGAACTAGTCATTATACTTTAAAAATAGAAAGTTAATCCAGGGTTCATGAAGATAAATCTATTACTATTCTAAAATATCCTCGAATCACCTGTCTTGACTAATAATTATGGTTTTCTATATGAATTTCTTTTACAGATTCTCTATAAATTAGTAGAAAATAACTGTAGAGAAAAATCAAAAGCTGTCAGTTTCATATAGTAGAAAAATATATTGTCAAAATAACTTCAAATAGGTCAAATAATACATTATAAATGCTTCATGCTATGCATATGAATACGATACAGACTTTTCATTCTTAGGGTTTTTGCTAATGACGATGAAAGCTAACAGTGAACATTCAGTATGTTATCGGTGATGCAGTATGCACACTTGAAATTTCTTGTACAAAGATAATTTGAAAATTAACTAAATTTGAAGTTTCATTCAGTCAAAAACATCCTATATTAGTTATCAAGTCAACTAGTATTACATGTACTTTATGGTTACCAGCCCAGAGTAATCATTCTAAGGCAACATGAAATGCGTGAATTTTTCACAAATTAAATAACAAAATCAAAAGTGATTATTTTTTGTAAGCAATCACAATAAATTATCAGTGGTTCTAAGAGTTTTGTACACCAGACACATAATAATTATGACGCTCAGAATCCGGTACATTTTTTAGGACATTCATGTAAAGGCTACAACTTCCTGAATATCCATTGTGTTTAATGCTCTTCAACCAATCGATGTATGTTTGAGGAAGTCTAGACTGAACAGCTCCACGAACAATTATGTCTAAGTAATAAGGAGATGGATCTCCTGGTTCAGATGCATTTAACATATACGTTCTACAGTTAATAGCCTAAAAAATAAAATTATCATTGACAACAAACCGATGAGGTGTCACTTGCAAGTTTGACTGAGATTTCTACGGGTGTGTACAGGACAGGAGCACTCTCTTGCAAATCTAGCGTACGCATATCGCTCATACACATCTTCCAAACAGTTCCATAAACACAGCTGGACGGTGAAGGCTTAATAGTTGCCGTGGCGCCGAACCAATTATTGCTATAGCCACCAAAGGAAAGAATATAGTCATTTACTACTCCAACACCGACGTATTCAGCTGATTTATTTGACAGTTGTATGCGTTCTTTTAGCAAATTGCTTCCGAAAGCAAAATAGTAAAACATGAGTGTAGCAAATATCCACGAGAAAAGGTTAATCTGCAAAGAAGAAAAATTTTGATCAACTTCTAGAGCAAAACACAAAAGTATATATATATATATAAAACACAGTGAGGACTGAATGTAGTAAAGATCCGCAAATGTCATGGCAGAAGTTAAGTCACAAATCGCCTGTATGGTTTCAGGTTAGTGTTAAATCTCTCGACAAATTGGCAGCTTCTTACGATGTCTTTTCGACTAATCGTACCACTCAGGGGTGTAGCGAGATCACTGATGTAGGCACTAAAATGCTCACAATTGTGGTAGAGGATGCAGTGGTTCTCAAACTACTACCTAAAATGAAGCCAGGTCAATCACCTGGACCTGACGGACTTCAAGCTAGTCTGCTAATCTCCTTGGTAGAAACAATAAACATCACACTTACGAAGATTTTTCAAATGTCTCTGACCCAGACTAGGCTACCCAGGAACTGGAAGGATGCTTATATAAGCCTCATCTTCAAGAGGGGGGCAGGCAGTTAGGACCTAACTACCAACCTGTAAGTCTAACCTGCATTATAGCAAAGGTGTTAGAAACACGCATAAGGGATCAGCGCTCAACTCATATGGAGAAAGATGGCTTACTGGCAGTGGAACACCATGGATTTCGACTAGGACGATCCTGCTTGACAAACTTACTGTTAGCTAGGGAAGATTGGGTCGAGGCCAGGGACAAGAACCATCTACTGGACGTTCTCTTTATCGATCTTAGTAAAGCATTCGATAAGGTATCCCATTTAGGTCTCCTTAGTAAACTTAAACGTTTTGGATTAGACCAACGCTTATGTGAGTGGTTTAGCGACTACCTGATGGATAGAAGGCAGAAGATAAGGGTTAATGGTGTACTGTCAAAGTGGAAAGCAACACTAAGTGGAGTACCTCAAGGAACTATACTTGGCCTCCTGCTATTCCTATCATGCCAACGATTCTTACCTTATCTTCCTTACTATTTGCGGACGATATTAAGATATGGAAAGCCGTAAATAGTAACGATGATAGGTTGGTACTACAAAACGATCTAGACAAATTAGCTGAAAAGGCTAACCTCTGGAGTTTGGAAATTAACTCCAAGAAAAGCGCGGTCAGAAGTTTTACACGTCGTACTGCCTGGGAGGCACAGAACTGCCGGATGTTAGGGGACAAAAGGACTTATGGATTATTGTAAGCCATGACTTAAAAACAGCAGCAAATTGTAATCGAGCCTCAGCTAAGGTTTTCCGAATGCTATCGGCACTTGGAAGGGCTTTCATATGATTAGACGAGGGTATGTTCCAAGTACTCTATGCAACACATGACTGACCTCATCTAGAATACCATATGCAAGCGGTGAGTCCATGCTTCAAAACGGAGACGCATATCCTAGAAACAGTACAAAGGATTGGAACCAAATTAGTTAGTGGTATCTCACACCTTCCTTATGATAAGAAGATGGAGCATTTAAATCTCTTCTCGTTAACACACCGAAGGATAGGCGACTTAATTTTGGCTTACCGTATATTAAAGGGTGATTTATGGATTGACCTTTGAAACCTTTTCTCCCCCTTTAGGATACATTTACGAGGTCACAACCAGAAAGTGCACAAACCGAGGTTGAATAAAATACGCTTGGAATTTGGATTCTCACACAGAGTAATCAGCGACTGGAACTCCTTACCTGATTCAATAGTAATAGCCCCATCGGTGAACGCTTTCAAAGAGAAACTGGATCTCTTATATATATATATATATATATATATATATATATATATATATATATATATATACATTAACATAGGCAACAAGAGCCTTATGATCTGAATATATTAAGAGAGGTACGGCCTGCAAAGAGAAAGATTTTCGAGATACTAGATATTCTTAGAGGACTAAAATGCCATCATAAGACAGTCTATGGAAGACACTCAAGATTAAGGATACCCTTTCTGAAGCAAAAGTCAGGCTTTTTATGCCATTGTAACCAGATTAGAATCAATAGCAAACATCAGTAACTCAAAAATGTTACAAATTTAAAATTCCTCTTTAATTCATCCTTCTAGGATAATAATAGTCTTTGAATTTTTGCGTGTAAGAGCAGACACGTTACATTTACTTTGGAAGCGAAGTATCAGGTAGTGATTCAATGCAATAGATACATTCTGCCGGGAAATGTGTTGAAAACAACAAACCATAGGCTTTTCACGGTCAGTACTAAACAAAGGTATTTGACGCAAGTTTGGGGCAGGTATAATCTGTATAACACTGTGAGAGTTAATCAGAATAAATTTTACCCACAATGGAATTATACTCTATCACAGTGCACAGGTTATATTCTTATATCCGGTATATTCTCTATATTAAGGGAAGTACATCAAAATATCAGGAATTCACGGAAATTTTACTGAGGATTTCGCAGAGATATATTCAGGGGTTGTAAAAAATGGATATACCCAATTTATAAAAAAAGGATAATATTATCTTTGGATCTTTGAACAGTCGCAATAATTCTTGTTCTTTCAGACAAGTTTGTCTGCTTTATTCTCTTTTCAGAACACCGCTTTTTAATATGACAAAAGATGGCACAACTTCTAGCCGTTGACCGTTCTCACTGAGTTTCCGTACTTTCAAACCCGTGACTTAGTCATTCAAGGTCATAAGTGAACACAATCAGCCCATATGAACCTCATGTTTATTTCCAATATCCAATACAATTTTTCGAGATAGTATCAACCACTTTGATTTCTCTGTGCCCACTTCTTGATTGTCAGGTAGAGGGTCCTGGTCTTTGGTAAAATTTTGCATAGTTCGTCCCGCCACTCGACTGGCTTAGCTTTGGTTGTCTCCAAAATGAGTAGTGCTGGCATTAATTATATGTTGTTTGTAGTGTACAGTGTTGAGACTTTGTAACTACTGTGAATGGAGTTGATTCTTTCACCAGTTAGCCCTCCGGTATTGTCGTCAAAAGAAAAAAGATTATTTTAACAACTACAGGTATAATTAGTGCAGGTTATTTAGATTAAAAGACAGAAGAAGAAATAAAGAAATCGTAAAAACAGACAGGTAACGATATTTTAAGTTGAAATATATATATAAATGTATATGTACATAATATACTTAGTGCTAGCAACTAGTTATTCAAAGAAAATCTGGGTCTATTTCAGACTAGTACGATCTGATGGTGGGAGAATCTTTGCATTTACTAGTCTATATATGGGTACTGTGGACACGTGTTAATATTGAGCGCTGTTTTCGTATGCCTTGCTTGACATTCTGAGTCTGAGTCTTCCTAAAACTGTGTTACTTCTTCACTGTTCCTAACATACCTCCACAGTATACATTATGTCTACAGAGAAGCGTTAAGAAGCTTAGCTTAATTCGGAGATCATTTAGAAAAATTAGGGATACCAAGAGGCCGTGATACCTTAGCGGTAGTCATTTACTTTGTAGAGCATAATGGCTCCGCCTTCCTGAAAAACTGCCCACTTACCAAAATGGCTGCTACTCAGGAGGGCGATGGGTTGCCAATTTCAATATCTGAGGTATCCCAGATTAGGACTCCGTGAGATTCTGAGTTAGAGTCTTGAAATAAGACATGAAGTGAAGTATTGTGGTACCAACATGCGGTCCAGTTAACTCGAGCGGGAACCATGTCTTTAGTAACTCGCAGGGAAGTAATTTTATAACTTTTTACTGTTCTATCCGCTGTTGTATGTTTGTTGTTATCAGCACTGTGCTAAAAGCCAGTCGTACTGGCCACTTCCGTGCCTTTCGATTTTAAAGACCCCGAACCTCCTAGTCCTTCGCAGTAACCTATTTTTGTAAACGCATGCATTCATTAAGGCAATAGTGCTAAGAATTTCCTAATGTGTCTATGCTTCTAGGAAATATCTGTTCAGAAATGTATAAACGTGCAATATGATATGTGATTTGCACAAGCACCAAGCAGTGCAGTGCAGACTTGCAATAAAAATCTCAGGGCTGAACATAAAAAAGGATGGAGGGTGGTGCATGCTGATTAGTGGATATATTAGTGTTCACAAATATGAATCTCAGCAAACTGTAGGATAACAATATTCATTTTGACACCTGAAGGTAAAGACGTGAGTTTAGATCCTTATCTTAAAAAAATGATTTCATAAATCTACAGAACATGTACCGCTTCAGCCTTTAACACCCATCCTTTCACTCAACATTTTGTCCACATGGGTACTCGTGGGCCTGGCACAAATCTGACAGACATCTTATAAACCTTCCTTTCTCACTTCTGGGCAAATTGTCATGCACATTTTTCGTAATACAATTACTTGAAAACTAGTATAATCTGTCCAAGATCCTTATATGGCTAAAACTTGCTCCTCCTACCTGTATTCTTCTCCTCATCAAAGTGTGATTAAGTGGGAGAAAAACAATGTCTTGTTTGAGCGAACTATATTTTCATTGGAAACATCATGGTCTTGAAAGCAGGACCAATATGTTTTTAATGCTAGATGTTGCAAATGTACATTATCACTCCAAGCACTGTGCAACTCCTTCTTATGTGTATTCTGTAGGCGAAGTTGAAATTTAGACAAAACATTACCAGAGGAGTGTCGCTACACCGATGACTTTGAAAGCAGAAATCAGATTTCTCACGTGAGTTCAAGGTATAATTCGGATTGATTGAAGTCAAGCGCGGGTATAACGGACGAAGTCGAAGTGTTCCAGTATTGCACAGGTTTAAGGTGGATTGCAAGCGAAAAAATTTGTTCCTATGGAGGTACTGAGGAGTATAAAATGTTTCATCAGACAAGATTATAGCGTTATACGTTTGCAGTTACTGCACATTAAATCAAGCTGTGGTATACGCATTTCGCACGTATAAATAGCCTTTTTCATGTGATTGGTGCTTTAGTTTGTCTTCTGCTACGGTGTGATGTTCAGAGATTATCTTCGCCACTGGGTAGATGAAATTTTAGTGATATCTTAGGACCTATACAACACTAATATCACTCAGAAGCGGTCAGTGATTAAAGAAGACATAAAGACGATACAAGCAGCCAAATAAGAACTATATATCCTTTGGGATTTGCAAGGTCCTTTTTCTCTACTGACTAATGAACGCCCTTCCAAGTGTCTGAGTAGATAACACTCGCTGTACTGGCCCACCATCGGCGCGCTAATAAAAGTATACGTCCACAACCAACTGATGTCGTCTATCATCATACGTGACATCAGTCGACTATTCGGCGCTCTTTTTGAAATTATAACGAGTTACTTGAATATCACTTCTGTTTGCTTTTATTCCACTGTGCTGATTCTCAGGAAGTTTTTATGTCTTTGAAATAACTTTAGTTCACGCGTGAATGTCGCACGTCACTGAATATTCTTTAGATATTGGTTAGGTAAAATCACCGATAGAAGACGAGACGAAATTTGGGTTACCCAAGTGACCTGGGTCATGCTATGTATACCCGAGATATATATGACCCCATTTCGATAACTTATGCTACAAATCGACTATTTAAACCATCAAAACAGTTTTGGTTTATTATTTGACTACTTCATCGTGCCTGTAAAATTGGCATGATTTACATGTATACATGGACGTCACTAAGAATATTAGGAAAATTTACTGTAGCCAGAATGCAACCCTGGGGAACTCAGAATACTAGTTTACATATATAATTACCAACTCGATTTCAACTCAAGTGGTACTAAGAGATGGACGGCAAGTCGAAGATTTGTTGATCAGTCAAGTATGAGCCAATAAATCAAGGTGATTATTCAGCAGCATGGCTACGTGTTTCACAGATGACTGATATCCGTACACAATAAACCTCCACAAATAAGTCAGTATAATATACACCAATACTCGTGATCGTGTTGTTCTGGCCTTCCATCAACGAGCAAGCATCTAAGCCACAACAGGGGTTGTTACCTCCAACCAACAGGAAACTGGTTCAAAAAAACATTCACTGAGCATCCACCAAATGTTCGATATCACTGGCATTCACCGGCGAAAGAGGGATCCATTCCTCTTTTTCACTAACGGCCAGTACGCGTTAACACTGGGAAGACCAGGGCCACCAAGGACTGGACTGAAATAGAAGGCGAAATGGGCAAACACAATAAGCATACGTTCATCACACTGGTGCATATTCTCACCAACCGTCAACAGCCACAACAACGAAAACTTGGGGCAACGCTATTGCGAGTCACTAATAATATGCAGACTGACTCTTCAACTCTGAAGGATTCTTGACAACTTGCAGCACGAACGGAAAATAACTCAACGACTCCTGCAGATGTTAGCATGACTTCTTTAGCGATATGGCATTCTCTATACGACACCTCTTGCGCGTTCCCTATCGGCAACCACTCTCACCTCTTGTCCATCACTCTGCACAGGTTTGAATAATAGCAACGCATGCAGGGAAATGTCTAACTCGCAGGCGTGAAAGACCTCAGCCCTAGACAGGGACATCGCGACATTGTTGATTACGATACACCAAAAGATCTTGTCCACGTGTTTACTGAATACTTCCCCCTATCCTCATGTCATCCCACTTTCAGCTCAAACCCCTTTTGGTGCAAGCCTCCCTGGCGTATCGAATCTGATTGGGTGGTTTCGGCTTTATTATCACAGAATCCCAATATAAATTCAGAAAATTTCAAAAATTGATAATCAGACATTGAAAGTTCATCAGAATTTGTGAGCAAAAAACGATACAAAAAGCGTTGTGGTTACCTGTTCGGTCCTGGCCATACAAACATATGTAGACGCTAAAAGGGTTGTTTAAAAAAGGCGAAGCTCGCACACAATGAACAGACTCGTAAATCAATGTTAATGAGCAAAACAGCTCCACATAAGGATTCCATTTTTCAACACTTCACACATGTACACTTACAGATAGTACACCTAATTTTGTGAACCATGCCCTGATGTGCTGTCACTGAAGAATTGCAGGACTTACGTTAGTACACCTGCGATCCCTGTCAGGTTGACGGTTCTATGTTGGAAAATCATCATAGAGTTCATCTGCTGACTTACTACCATCGTCGTTTACTCATAACGGTGCCACGCCCCCGACATAGATTTGTGGGAGATATGTGAATGTCAAAAATAAAACATATCTGATCAACCAAGTGACTGCGCAGAGTTATTGGCACCAAGAATATAACATTCAGATGGTAGGTCGAAAAATGGAAGCCTCTAATTTGCTTGAGGTCAGTTTAACAGTTAGGTTAAATCGCGAGATACTCACAGTTACCTCATCGCCACCAGACTCAGTATTGACTTTCATCCACTCAAATAGACTGATACTAGCACAAGCATAGCGTAAGACATGTGGTTCATGAACAGTCACTTACTACAGAAGATTGTTTTACTGCAGGGGATCAAAGATGTTCACCGAGTCAATTGAACCTCAGCCATTTTACCTTTGACAATCAATTTTTTATCCATGAAGACTGAAACCCACGGTGGTCAGTATAATTTTCAAGAGACAGAAGATTGGCAGTTTCTTTGTGGTGTGATTGGCTACTTGTGCACTCCAAATCATTGTCAATAAACAGATCTATTAGTGGCCTTAAATATTATGTGCCTCCTTCACCAGTTTGGGCGGTGTGAAAAATAGCCTCACCACCAGGTTAGGTGGGCCAGGCTAAGCAGTCAGCAGGTGTCGTAAAAACAGCTCAAATCTAGCAGGATATATGGCCAGGCATCAATCATGAGAGTTATATCTATTCGATATCAACTGGAGATGAGTTCAGAGTCATCCAGGCAGCTTGAATAATTGGGTTTCTAAATTACCACTGTTGATACCTTTTATGATTGCATCCAGTTCCGGTTTACCGTCTGTCGATAAGCGGACTGGATGGGGATCATTCACATCGACTATCTCATCAGTATCCATATTTTTTACAACAGTATCAACTTCTAATTCTACTTCACGTGTAAGAATTTTTGTTTAACTCCGTAACAATAGGTTGCCTGTTAGTCTCTTTGTGATTAACTGGAGACAGATCATCTTAATCATGATCGCGAATATTCACTAGGCCACTGATTGTTTGATTGAGCTCATCAATATCAACTTTTTAATAACAGTAGTAGGTGACTTAAGCCTTTCATTGTGAATCTTTAAAGGAGTTTTTATATCTTTGCTTTAACTAGTAATATCTTGTAAAGTTATAGAGTCACAACTGGAGTCTGAAGTGGCCAACTGATTACTCTGCACAAGCTGATACTTCGTCTGTAGCAGGCTACCTAACAACGGCTTACCAGTCGCAACTGCAGACTTCCTCAAGCCACCAGTGTCTCCATCACGCCTTTAAGTGAAGTGGAACACTACACTCAGTTTACCGGGAACTTTTGGGTTGAGAACTGGGTGGTAAAGTAGACACCACCTTCCTCGCTCGGCTTGCTCTACCAATTTATCTGCGTCACCTTCCGTTATGTGTTCATCAAAGACATCACAATACTTAATTGACAGATTTGAGTCTGGGACAAATTTCCTTCTTACACTCAGAAGTCTCCCATCGTGGTTACAAATCAGTCCTTCTTCCCTATGTTTCCACTGTAGACTTATGGTGAAATGTCAACTCTTGAACACCCAACAGCTTTCTACCAGCAGGTCTCAGAGACCCCATTACCTTGATATAAACCATGAATTCCCCCTGAAATAGACCAGTATGCCTCTTCTTCTGTGTTTAGCAAAACTGAAGTGGTGGGGGGAATTAATTGTAATGGAATCTACCAGGTCCCGTGAATCTTCGCAAAACAACAAGAAATTAAATAAATTATAACAACACAGAATGATAGGTTTTTTGTTTTAGTGACCACACCGTGTGTTAGAATCTTTATTAAAGCAGGAAGTGAGCACTGAAAAATTGTAAAGCGTATACAACCCCTTCATAAAGATATTAGATATTATTAGATTATCAGATACATTTCGATAGTAATGTTTTATTCCGATCAGTTAATGGCGGTAACATCATATACTGTTAAACAATAGCTTTGAGTTTCAATGATGATCCTCTTTGCTTTTACGTAAAGAAATAAAAACAAATAAAATGTTCTTTTCAGGCCGGAAAAAATGACGAAGGAATAACACTGTTGCATAAGTAACAAGATTTGATTTAATCCATCAATGTTGAAGGACGTGCCAAATTAACACATTTGAGTTGTTACTGTAAGTAAGCAAACTTCGATTGTCATCTGAATATTAAAGTAAATGAGGTTTAGTTAGACTATAGACTATAGCAACTGTTACGGTACATGATTTTTCACAAAGAAATAGATACATGAGTGAAAAACAAGTGACGCAATCTTGCGATATTGCTACACAAATTCTGAATTATGCGCCAGTAATGCGTCTTATCCTATAGGAATGTTTTCCGCTCTTTTAAAGAACTTAGTGCGTGCTGAAGTCGTAAGGTTATTGCTTAAGAATAATTTAAATCATTGATGAATTAAATCAACACACGCCCAAGCTTACAATAATGCTGAATTAAATCTCAGTAATTCTGAAATAATTCTAGCATCCTATAATGAGTAAATTCTGAATCTGTTCTCGAGTGGTTTGTTTAATGGCACAGACTAGAACTCAGTGCTGGTTTTCAGCGTGACTAGAACTAATTCAGCGCCGTGCTCTTTTTCTCGGCATTTTTAGGAATAGATCAGAACATACTGGGTTTGCTTATCAGCGTTGTTCCAGCCCTTACAGGACATATTAAGCACTGAATAGCATTACTTCAGGACGACAAGACTTAATTCAGCACTCAGCTCTCTTTTTAAGCACGACCAGCGTTATTTCAGAACATAGTGGGTAGATAAAATCTTCATTTACCATAAAAAGGCATTATCGACGCATAGGTTAGAATAAGTTTAGAATTGTTGTAAGCTTGGGCGTGTGTTGAAACGGTACCAATCACTGCTAAATTAGTGTTGAGGACGCTGAATTGATTTTAAGAAAAATGTTGCTTATCCCTAAACCAGTGAGAGAAGTCGGCATAGATTGATGTGTTAACTTGTGAGTCTGTGTGAAATACTGAGTCTTGAAAATCACTTCAGAGTTAACTTACTCTACACATTAGTATAGTAAGCACCTGCTATATACAGCGAGTATGTGTGTAGCATTAGTTCATAATTTGCGAGCATTGTTCTAAGATTCTGCAAATTTTACTTTCTCTCCCATATTTGCTTGAGGAGTCCCACGAAGTTTGAGTGTTTTATTACTATGACTAATTGATTAATTTGGGTAGCTACACATGCATTTGTTCAGGAGGGACTGACAGGGTAACTTTTCTTTCAGGAGGACCGTGATTTCATGGAACATTAAAGGATAAAGTCAGAATACCATGATTAACAATCACCTTCATAAAAGCATGAGATTTTTGTTATTCTCTAGTTCTGATTAGTTGTCCACGGTGGATGGGAACGCCGACCTGGGGCTTTGCCCAAGCAAACTTGACTAATTTGGACTGCTTCTACTCACGTTTATATCCCGCTGTATGTTGGTGCTGACGCAGTTGCATCAGTAGCTGACACCGAGCTGGTGACCTGCTGATTTCCGTTTGGCAATCATATAGGTGCGGTTTGTTGGTATATTCTGTGGTCGTTGCCACTGCACTCAATGAAGGTTTACTAAAATAGCATTTTCAGAATTACGAGCACTTATGGAGGTGACGAAATGACAGTTATTTATTGCGTGCCTTTTTATAGACTTGAAAGAGTCGCAAAGGTTACACCAAACGACATCTTCAGGGTAATTAAAATCTCAGTAAATATGTATTAAATTCAGTTTCAAGTTAAAGCAGCCATCTAATGCATTCCATTTCTGTTTACTAGAGTTCATGCTATGGGAACTAGTCGCGTTCATCCAGCCAATAGTTGTCTGACACTGCAACTAAGATACTGTCAAAATGACTGCTAACTGCAGCTTAATACTCAACTTCCAAATTTAGTGGTCATAGGAAAGTGGGAAGTAAAGGGTTCATGTGGCTTGGATGGGTGTACTTTGATTGTTGATGAGTGTGTAACAGAGCTCATTTTCCCAGGTCTAGTTGAGCACCGTAAACACCAGATTATAATACTAAATTCCTCTACTTTTGTGTTGATGATACCGGACACATGATTGTTGTTGTTAATTACGCGTCTCCGTAAATGAACTCAGTACGAATGTATAAAACCTATAGTTTTGTGTTTTTCACATCATGTTTCTGTTTCTTTGTGGTTATAATGTAACTACTTCCGAACTCTAAGTTGTGTGTGTTTCATAATGCATGATTGCAACTGAGTTGTTCAGTGTGTTTTCTTTTTTGAAGGTAAGATTAGTCCTCGAGGTCTAGTCGACTCTTCACCGTGTCCAATGTCAATTGATATACAAAAGGTTAGTTTCTTCCTAACTAATCACTTCCAAATTTCGAGTCCGTATCCCTCTTGCGCAAAGGATTCGATGAAGGTGTTTTGCGGACAGTGGAGTCGCGTAAATCTGCTCTTCGGAACATCCTGAGGTTGTTTTCGGAAAATGAAGAAAGCTTAATCAAAGCACTTGAAGAAGACTTACATAGAGTAAATGATTTCAATGCATATTAATTAATAGTGTCGAGCGGAAGCGTTATATGCTGATATTGATTGTTCAGTTAGTGAGGCGAAAATAATGCTCGCCAATATTGATTCATGGTTGAGGGAAGAGTCGGTAAGTGATGAGTATGATTGAATCTATTGCTGTCTTAGGTACCGTCAACATTCATCTCAAGTATGGATACGGTGACTATTCAAAGGCAACCCTTTGGTGTGGTATTAATTATCAGTCCTTGGAACTTTCCGATTGTCCTAACCTTTCAACCTATGATTGGTGCAATAGCTGCAGGAAATTGCGTCCTGATAAAACCGTCAGAAATCACACCAGCTTGTTCACAACTGATTGCTAATCTTGTTCCAAAGTACCTGGATGAGGTAAGTGATTGGTACAAGCATACTAAGTCTTAATGTCTAATATCGAGATTGCACAAGTGACATTCTAACGGCTTTATGTGCAGGCAGTAGGCGACTGTGCTTAAAATTTCTGCTTTATTAGCACGTCAAAATCTTTGCTACGCTAAGAGCATTTGTATGTCACTTTTACTTAAACACAAACTTAATATACTGTAGACTCCAAGAGATGCACCACAAAAAATAACAAATCACAATATGTTGAAAACAGGTGGAGTAATTAAGGAACGGGGTCAAAAAAAAACAGATAAGCACACCAATGAGGAGCATTTTAGAGGCGCTCATTACCTTATGTTAAGTTCAGAAGAGGGAAGGAGGAAATCGTATCAATTTCACCATTGATTTCGATTCCCAGTTATATTTGATAATATCTCTAGACAATGATTGGGATTATCTAACCTGTATTTAACATTAGAAATGATTCTTGTTCACTCAGCAACTTGGATTTATTCTCTTTTTCTTTCTTGTGAAACTAATAACAGCTATTTTCATTAACTGAATATTAGTGATGAAGGATTTTTGTTGCATGTCCTCTTATAGTTGGGTCATTGTCTCAGAGAGGAAACTTAATATAACATTGGTGTGCTAGGCCATTAGTGGATGCGTGTTACTTCACTACTGTATGCGTTTTCGTACTTTGTCTTGCAGGTGTTGTTTGCGCGTAGTGGAGTCATAGAAGGTATGGGAGTCAAGTGTGTACTCCGTGTTTTACACTTTAAGTCAATGAATCTTGGGATCGTACTCCAGTCCACCTACTTCAGTTCGAGCAGCTGGATAGTTTCATAAGGCCTTGCAAAATAAGTAGATCTCATAGTCTGATATATGAGAAATACATTCTAGGTAACTGGGTTTGAACTAATTAACTGTACTGTGCTTTAACCTATGATTTCCTATTGTCAGCGATAAGATTCAATAAGTATGGAAGGAAGTGCAAAATTCAGTTGATCTGATCGATGTCAAACACATGTCTGTTGTGATTTGTTTTTGTAAGAAAGTGATATCTTTTCTGCTATATGCACTTCTGGCTTTGATACCTGTGAAGTATGAAACATCCATGTACTTCTAATTGAACTGATTCATGTGGTCATCATCTATCATTGCTTTTGTTCTCACTTTCTCTTTCATTAACCTATGATTTGCCCTATGCAGCTCCAAAATCTTACCATGCTACTATTGTAAACGCTTCAAAGTAGTGGGTCACCACAGTCTCAACCATTTAGACTGATGTATCAGGATACGTATGTTGTATTTTACACCTCCAAACATGCTTATTCATCAACTTTCAGATGGCTATTGCGGTCAGTATACGTGTGGCATACCAGTGCATTATTACTTTACCAGATGAAAGTGTTAATCTCAGTCTGTTCGACTGTTAAGAGATCTGGTTATTTAGGTCTCGTTTCTTTCATCGCGTGCAATAAAACTATTGCTGTAGCAACTCTAATATCTAGCGTAAAGTGCTGGGTAAGTAATGAAAGTCAGTGACTAGACAGCATGTTTTACGCACGAAATGTAGCCATGTGTTCCAAAGGACAATTTTAGTAGCGTTAAATTTAGGCATGAGGGAAGTCTAGGTCAGTCAACGAAGGAACGACAGCAGTCCACTAAGTCTGTGTCACTTAGAGTCATGTAGGCGAAAATTTAAGAAGTGATGATTTAAAGTGACTTTAGGTAGTAATGAGGAATTTGTTTTATTTTCACAAAATCTTGTTATCGGTTGATATTTTCACAAAAAGAAGTAGATATTTATGGAAGTTTAAGAGTTAGTAACCAGGTGGCTATCGATAGATCTTTGGAGTTATTAATGTTGCTCAAAACTATAGGTCATCTCTGTAATTGACCATTACGCATATTGTGTTCAGTGAAATTATGGACTCCAATACTTTTCTTCAAGTAGCAAACATATATGGTGTAACTTATATTTTGAGATATCACATAGTGGACTGTGTCACAACACCTTTTCCTGAAACTCTGACAATACAGTTTAAAGGCTCAGCCAATTTCCAACTTTTTATCATTAGTCGGTAACGTATTTAGGTTGGCTTCATAGAAAAGCCTTTGATAAATATCAGCGCTCATTGTTCAACAACGTTTTTGGTGTAGGTTACAAGTAGACTGTTTTTGAACCCTTCCTGATCAGAAAACATGGATATGAACGTTAGCATTATTCAGCTGACGCCTTAACTACCTTTTCCATTGCTGGTTGGTTCTTGCTGACCTGGAGTTGCGTCTGGGTGGAGCCTAGATTCATGCTAAGTAATACCGACTACTATTTTGATAACTGAATGTTGCAGCTCAATGTGGACTTACCATTCGATAGGCACCTACAAAATGTATGATTTTTGTTTCCATTTTCCATATTTATTAATCATACACAAATTAGTAATTAACTTCAATAATTTTAATATTCTGACAAAACACTAAGAAATTCATCAATGGAACTAGTTGCTCTAATTTTTAATATTTTATTTTTTTCCATTAAAGCGTATATGTCAAGTTATATGCGGAGATGCTAGTGTTTGTAAATCAATTCTAGATACTCAGCATTTTGACTTCATATTTTACACTGGTAGTACAGCTGTTGGACGTGAAGTTTATAAGGCTGCGGCGAAACAGCTTACTCCTGTAGTTTTGGAACTCGGAGGAAAGTGGTAAGCTATTCTTTAGTTATTCATTCATTTCTTTCTCGTTAGAGCTTTTAACCATCAGGTACTAATGTAAATTCATCTTTATAGCTTTTTATTTTTCGTTGTATATAATTTACTCTCATTTTTTAATGAGATTTGTTCTTGACCTTATGTACACACTTATTTTGGCTCATCTTTTTCACGGTTCGCCTCTAAGCTAAGCGGATTACATGAGCTCGTTTTGTAGGTTGAACTATTTTTCATTCAGGGCTACCTCCATCATCAAACCAACGCTGGACACAAATAGACCACATAGCAATAAGCCATCGTTGGCGTGGGTCGGTAGGAGATTGTCGCTCCTTCTGGAACACGTGTGTAGATACCGATCACGCACTGGTCCGCGCTCGTGTGTGCTTACGACTGAACGGACGTAGGAAACAGCTGACGGTAAACCCATCACGTCCCCAGCTCGATCTGGAAACTAAGTCCCTATTTGAGGAAGAACTAGCTAAACACATATCTTAGTTCGACAGCTGCGCTCACCCTGAAGAAGCCTGGAAGAATATTCAATCAGCCATAGATACAGCTGTAAAAGCTGTGAATAAGGTAAATCCAAAGGTGAGTAAAAACCATTGGATTTCGACTGCCTCATCCGAACTGATAGCTGCTAGAAGACTTATTCCGGCGAGCTCCGAATTCAATGAGGAGCGAAAGCTGCACAAAAGAAAACTTACGAAAAGTCTCCGCAAGGACCGTGAACAGTGGTGGTTGACAAAGGCGAAAGAGATGGAAAAAGCATCGGCGATAGGCAACACTAGGCAACTCTTTAGACTCATCAGGGAAACGGGTGGGAGAAGGCAAATCATAAGTGAGACTATTTGTGAGAAAAATGGCTCCTTAATTAGCTCTCAGGATAGACGCCTCGAACGCTGGAGAGAACACTTTGAGGAACAGTTTAACTTGCCTACAGCCACACTGAGCCTCCCCGCCATCCAGCACACACCCGAATGGGACATAGACACTGGTCCGCCGTCTGTAAGTGAGGTCAACAAAGCAATCTGTAATTTGAAACGAGGCAAAGCGGCAGGACCCGACGGAATTATTCCGGAGGTGTTTAAATATGGGGGTGACATACTAGTATGTAGATTAACTAAGGTACTAGGTAACGTCTGGGAATCAGAGTCGGTTCCATCAGACTGGGGTAAGTCACTTATTATACCGATATTCAAGAAGGGAGACAAGTCCTCACGTGATAATCATAGGCGAACTAGCCTAACGAACATAGTTTCTAAAATCCTAGACTCAGTAATCATGCACAGACTAAGCAGAACTCGGGAGGAACAAGCGAGGGAAAATCAAGCAGGCTTTAGGCCAGGTAGAGGGTGCATAGATCATATCTTCACTCTCCGACAGATCCTAGAACATAGACATACTTTCCGGCGTCCAACAATTGCCATATTTCTTGACTTAAAGGCGGCCTTCGACTCCGTGGATCGAGAGGTTCTATGGCAATGTTTGACTATGAAGGGAGTGCCAAGAAAGTACATTGCACTAATCAAGGCACTCTACTCAAACTCACGTAGCTGTGTAAGGGCTTATGGGGAATTGTCATCTGAATTGATAACAACCAGTGGTGTCCGTCAAGGATGTCCACTTTCCCCTTTTCTGTTTAACTTCATCATAGATATGCTAATGGAATTATCCTTAACTGAACTTAATGACTTAGGAATCGACTTGTTACCAGGGAATAGTCTTATGGACTTAGAATACGCAGACGACATTGTCCTGTTAGGAGAGGACACTGACAAAATGCAGAGTCTTCTGAACACCTTGAGCAGCAATGTTCGTATGTTTGGCATGCGATTCGCCCCTGTGAAATGTAAGATGCTGCTACAGGACTGGACTACGTCAACTCCTAGCTTAGTGATAGGGAGTGAAGTGATAGAATATATTGACCACTTCACCTATTTGGGAAGTTGTATCAGCACCAACGGATTGATTGGTGACGAAATCTCATCACGGATCCAGAAAGCTCGGGCTGCTTTCGCTAACTTACGCCATCTCTGGCGTAGGCGTGACATCCGGCTGTCAATCAAGGGACGTGTATACTGCTCAGCAGTTCGCTCCGTCCTTCTCTATGGCGGTGAGACGTGGCCATTGAGAGCGGAAGACATGAAGAGATTGTCTGTTTTTGACTACAGATGTTTACGATCTCTTTCTCGCGTTAGGTGGTATAATAAGGTAAGTAATGTTGACGTTAGGCGTAGAGTGTTGGTTGGGCAAAGAGGGAAAATCAATCGAAGAGGCCATAAAGTTACATAGATTGAGATGGTTAGGCCACGTGCTGCGCATGCCTAGCCATCGCCCCCCCCCCCGACGGACATTACTAGCTGATATAGGTGCAGGTTGGGAAAGAGTAAGTGGTGGCCAAACAAAAACATGGCATCAATCCTTGAAATCCGTAACAGTTAAACTGAGTCAGGTAGGGAGATGCAGACTTCCGGGTTGGGGCCCTCGGGACTCTTAGAATCAATGGCTGGAGACAATAGGTGACATGGCTCAAAATCGTTGTCAATGGCGCAGATGTATTCAGTCTCTTTAACCTTCATATTCCTTTCTACCATTACTCATTCTGTTTCAATCTTATACTTATCTAAATTCTATTGATTCTCTTCCCTCATTTTCCTGTCTACCTTTGTGTGCTATTTGGAACGTGGCAACTCGAACTGCTGCACTTCGGTGCCAAGTTCTATGTTGAATCCAGCAGCAGCAGCAGCAGGGCTAGATATGAATGAATGATGAACATATTTTGGTAAAAACAAACACCTATAGACCACATCTTGTCGTCTGTTTATATGGTTTGTTGTTTAACTGTTAGATAATGAATGCAAAATAAGAAATTTCTCCCTCAGGAATTTGTAAGACTGCCAGAACACCTTCCGTCAGGTCAAGAAGAACAGCTAACATTGGCCACCAGTAAATGCGTGTTTCGCAGGATTTGACTAGCAGCCAATATCTGGTACAGACACACGCACACACAATTTTAGTCCTAAGAAAGGCCTAGTTTTATTAGATTTTAGTTTTGATCACTATTCGGCATCGTATAATTAGGGACTCCACGTTTCTGGAAGTCATATTTGTAAAGCTGTGGTAATCACAATGAGAATCTTTCTGTTTCTTTTCGAAAGAGAGTTGGCGATTAAGACCTATAGGAGGTAATGACTTTCGACTTCTATACCTCATAAAAAATCCCAACTCACCATCCTTCAATGCTTTCGGAGACAGAGCATCAGAACTCACTATCTTCATTCTCGTCTTAACCTTTACGAACATTCTACGTCCTATAGCTGTTGCCTATTCAGTTTGCGTCTGAATAACACTTCATCATCACTTAAGCGATTATCTTAGCCTTAGGTAAGTGGAATGTTATTGTATATATTTTATACTGTTGAAAACATAAAACATATTTGTATATTATCTGCGTACATTGTAGAGTAGGACTTCTTCGTATAGTCAATGCATCCGCTCTATCCGTTCCTAACTAATGTAATTCTTCTTCTTCTTATATTGCCTATCACATGCATTTGTTTTTTATTTATTTGTTTGTCTCCTTTTCAGTCCGGTTTATATCGATTCTGATGCCAATTTGGATATGGCTGTTAAACGCATTCTCTCCAGCAAACTTTTAAACTGTGGACAGATATGCATTGCTCCAGACTATGTTTTATGCCATGAAAGCATACTAGTTAGTTGATTTAATTTTGTCCAGTTATCATTTTTCATAATTCCGAAAATTATCATATTAGTTAAAACAAACTGTAGAAGACAAGTGTATACATAAAGAATTTCAGTTTTCAAGACTTAGTCTGTAGGGATTGTATTTGTTGCAGGATTGATATCAGTTAGAGAACTATTGAAAACCAGGGAGTACTGGACAGCTGTTTCATCCTAGTTTGGGACTCATCACCAGTACGCACCCACTGGATTTCGAAAGCAGGACCTTCCGGTGGAAGTTAGAATTCATGGGTCATTGTACCAGGTCCCAGTTGCTGAATGGTATATGAGCCTGCCTTGTATTGTACGGGTGAAATAATAAATGAGGCAACGTTCCCGTGGTGATATGTTCTATAAAATAGTGAGTCACATCGAGGTTAGGTGTAGTGCTGGGCAAGGAGGGCAAGCTAATCGATGAGGTTATAAAGCTGCATTAGTTGACATGACTAGAGCACGTGTTACATATGCGAAGTCATCGCCTTCGCCTTAAAAGCAATGTAAGCTGACACAGAAATGGCTTCGAAAAGAGTTAAGGGTAATCAAATCGAAATCTGGCTTCAGCAGCTCAAGAAGTCTGACTGTCAGTCTGAGCTACACAGGGAGGTTTAGACTGCCCATCTGGTTGACACCGTCGAGACGTTAAAAATTAATGACTGAAGATTTCTGGGGATATGTCTCAAAGCGACTGTCAACAGTACAAATGCATTCAGTCTTTATGAACTCCTTGATCCATCAGATTCTCATTATTTTTTCCATGTAATTTTCTTAACTCTTTGAATTTTGCTCTCTACAAATTGAACTCTTGCACGTTTGTAAACAGTTCTACGTTGAGAAATAGTCAGCTAGTCAGTCACCTGGTTGTGGTAGTCAGCATATTCATCTTTGGCTGACAGAAATAGGCTTGATTCATTTCATCAAGTAGTTACTTTCTGTTTTGAAGATGTTGAAACTACTTCTCAGTTCATTATTTCTGTTACTTAGGCTAAGATTCAGTTGATAGATACGCTTAATTTTCGACAGCCTATCAATAAGTCAATAATATTTTGGTTTTCAATTTAGTTACAATTCGAGGAGAAAATTAAAATAATTCTGCAAGAGTTTTTTGGCGATGATCCTCAAAAGAGTCCTGATTTGGCACGTATTATTAACGAGAGACATTTTAAGTAAGTGCCTCTGTTTAGCTGTTTTCCTTTGTTAACTTTATCTCACAGTAATAGAAAGAAATATTGACATTGGGGGGTGGGGGGGTGGAAGGGCTCAAAGTAATACAGGTGGAAACCTGATCTAGAGATAATTTCAAAAGCAGTAAAATCTACAGAAATATCAAGCCACCTTTGTACAATGCAGTGTTCTTCATTAGACAACTTTTGTTATTCAATAGAAGTACAGAAAGTGGACCAACACTGTCTGTCTGTCTAAGTTATTTTGTATTTTCTGTTGATTGATCTACATTAGACAGAAATGTCTTATCGACTCCTAGTACGGACGTTTTGAAGATGTCTGGAGATTAATTTGATATGATATAGTTGGTGATGGATAGCAATGGGATCTAGAATGCACATTTCGTCCTATTTGGGAGTCGTCATCTGGGTGAATCTGCATGCTGGCTGAGTGATGTGACATCCACTGCGCTTCACTCGAACCAAGCACCCATCGTTTCAAACACTCAAGCGTTTTCTACTACATCACTACTGACTGGCTTAGTAGTGGAAATGTGGCTCACTGGTATAAGCACTAGGTTGTCGGTCTGAGTCACGGGTTCAAGTGTCACTCCAGCCACTTTGAACTGGGCAGTTGGATAATATCATTGTCCCTCACATTATAAGTGTGGCTGTCAGCCCGGCACATGAAAGATCTGTTCTGGGGAATTAAGTTCAAATAGAAGCAATGGACTCATCTTAAGTGGGGAAGTAGTTAACACCCTGGATTCCACTGCTAGCCAACATCATCCAAGTAACAAATGCCACCATTGTATTCACATTCTAGCTGTTTAGCTAATGGGATGTAATCACATAAATCAATTAACGCGTTGAAAAACAGACGTAGTGAAATTCAGTGTAATGACAGAATACTTCAGCGCATTGTAATTGCTGTTCAGTTTTAGAAATCGTTTCACAGGACGTCTTGTTGTTTGTAGCTAGGTGATTATTCGGCATAGATTTGCTCTATATGCTACGCTATCAGCGAAAATGCTACTGGTGAGCAAATTTCAAATCCCTTTTATAAGTGAATTCAAATGGCTTCAGCCAAAGAACTTCTACTCTGTACCTCTATATTTTTTGGTAGTTAATAATGTCTGGGTAATTCTGCTATAAAAAAATAACAAGCAAAACTTTCCAAAATATTTTGTTTTGATTTTCCAAACACGCTGGAAGTATTCTAATTAACTGCATAAATATCAAGGTAGATGTAAAAATATGTGATAGGTTTTCGAATGTGCCTACAACTCTCATGAAAAATATGCCAACATTCAATAATAAATGATACATTTGTAATTACCATTATGTAATTTTCATTTATGACTCCAAGTTAATTGTAATCTATTAAATCTGTATTCCAATCTCATTTCTCATCATCAGTCATGAATTGAAGTATTGGTTTGTAGGGATTTGATCGATTGGTTACAAGATTTCATCATGAGCTGACATTGGTTAGAGAACCATTGGAAAACAAGCTGGGAGTACTGGAAAGCTGTTTCGTCCTAGTTTGGGACTCTGGCGACTGGCCCTATTCAGGTAGGTAGTTACCTGGGATTCTAGTAGAAATTTGTGACCAGTAGGGTACAGCAGGCTGGGTGTGAAGACAAATATTCGCCGAAAACATTGGCTAGCAGTTGCTCTATGTCGTGAATAGGCAGAAATTAGAATTCTTGGGCTAGTCATTTGATCGGGTCCCAGTGGCTTAATGGTCTACGAGCTCACCTTGTAACCAAAAGGTCCTGGTTCGTATCCTGTCAGTAGGTGCTTGCTGATGAAGAGTCCCAAACTAGGATAATGGAAACAGCTGTCCAATACACCCAGGTTTTCCAATGGTTCTTTACCCAATTTCAGCTCATGATGAAATCCTGTAGCCAATCATGAATTAATTAACAATTTATTGATTTTTTTAGTTCATGATACGTGTTCATTGTACACCTCTTTTCAGAACACACTAACTTGTACTGCTAGAGATCATCGTACAAAGTAACACATTCTTAATCCATTTTCATGGTATCCAGTTATGTTTAGAATTTACATTTGTCACATACAAAATATCTCACTGGTATGTATATGCAAAAATATTTCAGCCTTCATTTTATTTTATTTATTTTTAAATGTTAGCCACAATATACGTGAAAAATGCGTATAAAAGTCAGTTCATTAGCAGAGAATTAGGTGATTTGAAAACAGAACAAACAAAAAACAACAACCTTAGAGGAATGTAAGTGCGCAAACGCAAACAGTGTCATAACAGCCTTTGTATTGATTATTGCATTAGTCTTCTGTACCAAAGGTGAAAAACACGCTGTTAGTCGACATTCTTTACAATAGTTGGTGTTTATTTATTCACTTCAGATATTAATAAGATTTCAGAATTGATTTTTTTAATTTTATTATTATTATTATTTTTAGACGTCTTAAAAATTTACTGAAACAAACCAAGGGGAAAATTGTAATCGGTGGCAAACTAGATGAGACTGACAAATATATCTCTCCAACAGCTGTATTCAACGTTGAAAATGATGATGCATTGATGCAAGAAGAGGTTAGAATTGCTCCATTTTATATCTGTTTTGATCCATGCTGTCCAGATTCTCTTGAAAGTGAAGATGAGTTTGTATATATATATATATATATATATATATATATATTTGAAAGCGTATGACAAAGATCAGTTTAAAAATGTTTAGGGATAATTATCGAATGTATCTCACCGTAAACTACTATTTGTCGTATTATGGATGTTGTGTAGATTAACGGATTTCTGCAAAGTTACTAATAGGCTGTTTTATACAAGTAACTTTTACTGGTGCTTTATCCTAACAGCCATTTATCTCTTCCGAGCTTATTATTATGATTATTGGTCCCTTGGGTTTCAAGTAGAACATAGGGCTACAACAACACATCTACACTTTGCCCTATTCTCTCCTGTCCTCTTCAGCTGGCTGTGCCCACGATTGTCCATAATCTCTCATCTCCTCCATGTCACCCTCGATGTGATGACCCAGTCGTCGTTTCCCATTCTGGTTCCACTCAAGTGATGATCTGCATTGTGTGCGATGTCATTCGACGGCCTCCTCACTGACGTGCACCCAATCCATCTCCACTTTCTCCTACAAATTAGTTAAACGATCGGCTGTTGGTTGGTTTGTCGCCTGCCAGAGTATCGTGTTGCTAATTATTTCTGACCGGCCATTTGATCTTTAGTATAAAGCCATCGTAGATAGACAGCTGTTGATAAAAGTCTACATCTGGCTGCTCGAAACGCTCTTCGTGATGAGCGGTACAAGTTTCTGATCCGTATAGAAGAAATGACTGACTTTACATTTGTGTTGAAAGTCCGAATCTTGTTGTTTATGCTGAGGTGGAGTGTAGAGGATTTCCAAACTGGTTTCAGATTGATGAAGGTGTATGGTGCCTTTCCGATTCTGACTGACTTTCACATCTTCATCCCTTCCTCCTGTATTTGATTGGATGCTTGCTAATTAAGTGGAGGAAGTAACCTCTGTTGAATCTCTCCCGTTGGTGGTGATTGGTGCTGGTTGTTGTTGTTGTTGCTTCCGTTAGTTGGTTGGTTGGTTGGTTATCTTCACCACCTCTGTCTTCTCTGTCTTCACCTGGAGTCCTATTTTCGCTGCCAGCTTCTTCAGCCAGTTTGTTGTTTTTCACCTGTGAGTTTTCGAGTTTGTGTGACATTAGACATAAATCATCTGTGAAATCCAGATGTTCTGTAGTCTTCTTATCGGTGTTCCAGCGTATTCCTATCTTCTCACTCCCATCCCACAGTCTGACGCATAATCCAGTCCACCACAGTTAGGAATATCACTGGTGAACTAGTGCTTTAAAAATGTTTCCAAAAAGAGTATGCTATGGTGTTACGAAGCTTTCTCTGTCTTTCAAGGTAACATCCTCAGTGCATACTTTAATTTTACAATAACGTACAATAACTTCTCAAGTCTGAAAATGCGTCGGTGGCACAGTGGTTAGGACTCTCGCCGACCATGCACATGGTCCGGGGTTCGATCCCCTGCCGGCGCACACCCGATATCTATGGTATGCCTGAATTTGGGCAACCGATATCCATGCTGAAAATTCCATACTTGTACTGAAAATACGGTGTGGAATCAAGCTGTAAATCAAAAAAAAAAAATTACCAGGCATTTGAAACCTACGTAAGAATATGTAAGAATAGAATTTGGGCACTGTGGTAGAGGATAATTCCATCATAGAATAATTTTACTTTAATAAAATCAGTGAAATAGTATTATTTATTTACTGATGGCGTTTCTATCCCAACTTACTGCGCATAATCCTATCAAGGCTGTCATGTAACCTTGAAACTTCGTTTGTATTATACCAATGATATTTTATCCACTGATTCTATTGACAGTAATATATTCCATATCTCTGGTATTGACGTTGTATCACTCTTACTGCAGGTGTTAGCTGTGAATTCGATGAAAAATAAAAGATTTAGCTGCCAACCTATCTTTTCACCTACTAACATTCCTTTTTTTAAACTGAAGGTCCGTTCCACTCTATTGTGTGATTGTGGGCTAGTGCACGAATTGCTGAGTGATTACTGAGTTTCTCTCTAAGCTATACTGCAGCTAAGTTAAAGGGCGAATTAAGAGCGAGTAGACGAAATGCTTGCCATTTTCAGTCCAAAATTTCATACTGAACATGGAGTTTTTTTTTTATTATTCAAGTACACATAGAATGCTATTATAAAGACTACCACGTAAGAAACATATTACTGTTATATATGTCCAAACCAAGTTCACTTTTAACAGTTTGAAAAAATTTGGGCATTGGGTATATGATATTCATTATAATAAAGGTTTTCTTGTATTTCCCAATGAATGAAAAACAAAACGATGTTGTTTTTACTGACATTTCGCTATTTAATGCTAATAGCTTTATTAAAGTATTATTATTATATAATATGCTGAGATTTTGTAAATTCCGGTTTACTAATACTTTGATAAAGCTATTAGCATTAAATAGCGAGACGTCAGTAAAAACAATATCGTTTTGTTTTTCATTCATTGGGAAATACAAGAAAACCTTTATTATAATAAGCATATTACTGACTTACTAAACAAAAAACACGTATGTCAATTTAACACTGTCTTGAAAATGTCACACTGGATAGGTTCCATAATGTTAAGTTCTCTAATTTCATTTGATTCCTTCGGGTTCCTGGTGGAACACACAGCTTCAAGCTCGAGCTTTGAAGTTTCAGTAGCAGTGGGTTTGTTAGCCTCTGGTCCAACCTTCCCTCTTTAATGGATTTACTACCGTCTAGTCGAGGTTTAGGAGTCCGTAGGTCTGAGATCGAACCCCGGACGACATGAGGGGTTAACACGTATTCTACCATCGACCCACTGAGGCACCTATTTTTATGTCATTGCCTTCTGCAGATATAACAATTAACTAATCGTTGTTCACTGATGGTATAATTTTTAATCTCATATGTATTTCCGTTCTTCCTGCTGTCTCTATTAGATTTTCGGACCTATACTGCCTGTTTTGAGTGTAAAATCGCCTTCTGAAGCAATTCAAATCATTAATTCCAGGTAATTACATAATAATTATTTCTGTTAGCATTCTTATTATCAGTAAGTTATTTTTGTAAAAGTTGAAGCACAAATACGTTATAAAAGAAATTTGTTTCACCTCGATTCTTTTCTTATTGATTCGCGTCGGTGGCTCGCCGACTATGAACATGGTTCGGGGTTTGATCCCCTGCGGACGCACACCTGATATCAATTGGTCGGCCTGCAAAATTTGGGCTACCGATATAACATGCTGAAAATTCCATACTTGTAGCAAAATACGGTGTGGAATCAAGCTATAATCAAAAAAAAAATATTAAAAAATTAAGCCACTGGGACCCGGTCCAACGGCGCATCAAAGACATTAATAAGCGGTCGCGCTATACTGTAAATTGGCAGGAGTTGGAATTCATGAGCCATTGGATGGGGTCTTAGTGGCTTAATGATCTATGCGGTCGCCTTGTGACCAGAAGGTTCTGGGTTCGAACCCTATTGGGTGCGTACTGTGAGGAGTCCCGAACTAGGACGAAACAGATGTTCAGTACTCCCAAGTTTTCCTATGGTTCTCTAACCGATGTCAGCTCACGATGAAATCCTCCAACCAATCAAACGAAATCCCTACAAACCAATACTTGATAATAAATGCTGCTTCGGGTTTTACGGGAGAGAGAGAGAGGATATGTTTAGCAACAGAACTCAGAAATATTTGATAGCGGACATATGATGTACAGTGTGATGGCGAAATTCAGAAATCGTACATAGAAATCTACATTTATACAATTCCTTTGTATTTCACTTCTTTTGTCTTCCTGTCATACTGTCTATACTGTTTCAGTAGGATCTTTCATTATTCCTTCGTCTTTGCCATTAAATTTGTCGCTCCATTACTAAAGGTTCTTGCAGAAGACATCATACACAATATATATATATATATATATATATATATATATATATTTAGAGTACACACACACAAGTTCTATATTGAATCCAGACAGACACTACTGTTTAGGTAAATGCCTTGAAGCAGAAAGCAATGGATTTAAATGAGAATAACAATCATCCTGAGAATAGGGTGTAATTCAGCTGTAACTGTTATCAAGGCAAAGCAGACTTGTTGAGGCTAATTATTAATTAATTTTTTTCTTACTAAGGTCTCAAGTTGTGCTCTTTTACTAGGAATGAAAAGCAAACTGAACTATCTGTATTACCTGTTTGTTTTTTTATTCCTACACGTTCCCAGTGGAACATAGGGCTTCAAGCTAGAGTCTTGAAGTTTCTGTAGGAGTGGTGATTATTTCTACAGGATGGGGTTGCTAGCCTCATGCCCAACCTTCCCTCTTTACCAGTCTTACTTCTGGTAAAGGAGCGCGTCTGCCGGGGATTGAACCCCGAACCACCTGAGTGGTATTACCTGTACATTCATTATTTTGATAGTGTGATTGACTTTGAGTGTGTGTTTCTACTTCATACTTATATGAAATTTTCTTACCTTCTCATTACAACAAACTTTTTACTATCTGCTCATAAACCTAAGTCGTTAAAGGTTGCAGTGATCCTTAATTTGTTGTAGAGATTTCCCTAATTTTACTTGATATTCTATTTACTATTACATTTTTGTGCTTATTATTATTTCTTGAACTGTAATTTCATTGATCATAACAAATCAATAGTATTTAAAACATACCACTATTGTTATATCATTATTATTATCCCCTTGGGTCCACCATAATTAACAATATCATCGGTGATAATAGACAGTCTTTTCTTACTTCTCTATTCACTTGAAAGGTTTCGCCGAGTTTTCCATTGTGCATCACTTGTCACTTGACATTGTCATATAACTTTTGGATGAAGTTGATAAAGATTCGGGGTACTTTACTCCATAATGTTGAAGTAGTTTCCAAAATACTTCGTGGTCAACGCTGGTTATCGAAAGTCTTTTGGAAGTCGATGAAGTTGATGTCGGGAGAGGTTGGACTGCCATTCTATGCTTTGTTCTGTGAATACGATGCGTAATGTGATAATTTAATAGGCACATGATTTGCTCCTCCTGAATTCAGCCAGCTTGTTCTAGTTGGGCTGGCGGAGTTCTGCATCCAGTGTATCTTTCATTCTCTCCAAGATGACGCGAAAGCTAGAACAGAATAATGATAATGATTATAATAATAGGAAATAAATTTTCAATTCTTGTCAAAAAATCATTAGTTTTTTCAGTGCTATATGAACTTTTATTTTATTTGCTCCACATTATCTCTTGTGGTTTACTAAAGGGGTTACAGTTACTCTCTTTGTCATTGTCATAGATAAAGCTTCTAACTGCCTTTTTTGTTTTTTATTCATATATAGGGAAAAGCCATTAGCTGTTTACGTATTCACTCAGAATAAGTCATTGTTCAATGATTTTAAGCATGCCACCTCCAGTGGTGCGATTATGATGAACGACTGTCTTATGCATATAGTCAGTAAGTTTCTCAAAAAGAATTTTCAGTGTAATAACCTAATTCACTACGTTTTACAGTAGCGCATCTTTTGAAGTTGCCATATTTCGAAGTGACACACGTACAGGTGATAAGAATGAGTACAGATATGATACTACAATCGGCAAACATGTATGAGATGCAAGGGATCAGGAGAAGTATTCCTATTCTCAAATCACGATATAAATTATGAAAATGTCTGAGACATTTTCAAGGATTTTGAACCATTTCACCAAAAGTTTCAATCACTCTCCTTTCCATCGTGCTTGCTGGCCTATTCAAAATAACTCTCACTTAGTCTAAACCAATAGTCAAAGGACTAAAAGTAGTAATCGCTTGTTTTGGTGTATTATTATTTATTATTGTTCCCTTGGGTTCCTAGTGGAACATAGGGCTTCAACTGCACGTCTCCACTTGCTTCTGTCTTCTGCTGTACTTTTCACCTGCATCCATGTTAGTCCATACTGTTTCAACTCTTCTTCACACGATCTCCTCCATGTCACACTTGGACATCCCACTCACCGCTTCTTTTTCGGGTTCCACTCGAGCGCTTGACGCGCGATGTCACCCAGCGGCCTCCTCAGCGAGTGTCCAATCCATCTCCACTTTCTCCTGCATATTTGTTGGGCGATTGGTTCTTGTTTTGTTTGTTTGTTCCCATAGTTTCATGTTGGTGATTTTTTCCGGCCATCTGATCTTCAGTATAGAGCAAAGACAGTTGTTGATAAAGGTCTGCAACAGGCTGTTGGAAATATTCTTTGTGACCCGCCAAGTTTCTGATCCGTATAGAAGAAGTGACTTGACGTTTGTATTGTTTTGGTGTGACCAACCGTAATTCTTTTTCAATCTATCCTTGTTTTGCTTGATATACGTTTTTGAGGGAGATGGCTGATCAATACAAGCTCTCAAAACCATACTTGTTGACGATTTACAAACTGACTACTAAATACTACGCCTGTCTGTCACATTACTTGTTCCTTGGTCCCATCCCATACGAATAATGGAACAAATCTGTGGTCTTCTGCTAAAAATTAACCTACGGACTGATTATATTTGAAACATAATCCTATTCTGTGTTTTGTAAAATATGATCTTTCAATTAATACCTAAACTTGTGCATACTAAAGGTATTTCAGTGCATCGGGCCATGGGAAGATGATTGCTGTCACAGATGTTCTTTTACCTGGCATTCCAATGCTTACTCTATTGAGTCAATGCTTCCTGATAAATTCGTGATATCGTAGTATAATAGTTTGGAGTATGTGGACGATATTGTTCTCGTAGGTGAAGATACTGAAAAAATGCAGAGTCTTCTGAACACCTTGAGATTATATCTTCTTCGATTCGCTCCTGTCAAATATAGGACGATGCTACAGAACTCGTCTGTAGCAAATTCTAGTTTAAAGTTAGAGAGTCAACTGGTTGAGCGTGTAGACTAGTTCACTTATTTGGAAAGTTGCATTAGCTCTAAGTATTATTTATTTATTATTTATTTAAACGCAGAAAAACTTGGTACAATATGGCACCAAGAAAGATGCGCCACACAATATTGTGTGTGTGTAACTTCCTGCTAACGAAATCTTAGCAAGGCTCATGTGACTTCTGCTAAGTTGCGTCATCTCTGGATTAGACGTGATATCCAGCTATTGGTCAAAGTATATGTGTACGGCGGGGCAGTTCGGTCTGTCTTCTTTTATGGCTCTCAGATGTGGCTATTAAAAGGCTGGCTATATTTGACCACACATCTTTACGTTCTATCTCCTGTGTTAAGTAGTACAATATAGTAAGCCAAATTGAGGTTATGCGTAGAGTGTCAGGTAGGGAAGGGATGTCAGTCGACGAGGTTGTGGAGCTATATCGATTCAGATGGCTAGGACACGTGCTGTACATGCCGACCAGCAATGTTAGCTGACTTGGGATTAGGTTAGGAAAGAATTAGAGTTAGCGAAGTCAAACATGCCATCAGTCCATAAAGTCTTTGCCTGGTGATTTCAGCTGGCCACTTAGTGATATCTAGACTGCCTGGTTGGGATCCGTTAGATACTAAAAAAACCAATGGCTTGAGAATATTAGTGACATAGCTCAAAATCGTTCTCAGTGCCAAAGATGTATTCACTCTTTGTGATCTCTTATATCCATTAAACCGCTGCGTTTTTCAGCGTTACTATTGTCTCCCCCCCCTCACCCCGGCACATTTCTGCGCATTATAATTCTTTCAGATCTATACCCTTGTGTGATACATGGAGTGTGACAACTGGAACTTCTGTGCAAAGTTCTGTATTGAGACTCAGTCAATAATAGTCTTACTGTCATTGCCACTCATTCATCATTTTAACTGGTGTGTATTATTAATTTTTAATTACAGTACCGAATATTCCCTTCGGTGGTGTGGGTCATTCAGGAATGGGAAGTTATCATGGTCGTTATTCGATTGAAGCATTCTCTCATCGTCGTCCAGTTATCCTTAAATCAGAAATCGAGTTCATTAACAGAAAGTAAGTTATCTAGTTGATATTTTGGATTTCCTTTTGATTGGGGTTATGCTCGGTCTCTGTTGTCATGTTTGCTCCTAGTAGGGACACTTCGATGACGCCTAAGGATTGACGTGAAGTTGTTTTGATTGATGGTGACTGGTAGCAGAATCCCAGATGCTCCTGCCTTCCTATTTGAGACTGGTCAACTGGATATACTTGCATTTCCATGAGAGTGATCGTGTTCCTACTGAGAACTGAACGCCTAACCGATTCTCTCAAACGCGAAAGAATTATCTATCAGGCCACAGGTTATATTATTACTAGAAATAATTTTTAATGGTCCTTAGGATTAGTACTACTTGCATTTTTTGAATAGCTGTTATTTTTCTGTTGTATTTTACTGCAAAGCATCTGATATGAGCACTATTTGGTATCATATTTCATTCTGGTTTGACACGATCGACTATGACTGGTTTCCCTCATTAACTCCCCTGACTGCTTTTCTTATATAGTTTTGACAATTTGACCTAAATACTGATCTTTTCGAAGGTAGTCAAACTACACATCGTCGACTTTAGCTGGTGTATGTAAGATGTAAGTGAACTACAGTTTATGATGTAGATGTCTGTCCTTCAATGATAGCTGAATCTGCAAAACAAGACAGCTGCGGGATCCGATAGAGCTTAAGTATGCTAATGATGAATTGTTGACCAGATTAAACAAGGCCTCTATCTCTCGTGTTGTTCTGTAATAAAGTGAATAATATTGAGGTTGGGTAAGAGAGAAGGTTTCATCCATAGGGTCGTGAAGCTGCATCGGTTGGCATGGTCAAGACAAGTATTCTGTTTTCAAAGCCGCCGCCTACTACGCTGTGCTATGGCAGCTGATATAGGACTAGGTTAGAAAAAAATTACGGATGGCACTAGATTAAAGCGCATAGAATGACAGATAGTCTTTACAGAACTATGAGACTGAGAATCTCAGATATTATGTTAATCAAACTTATCCTATATGGCTATAACATGAAAATGTCCGCTTTTTTAATAAACTAGTGATCAGTGAATATGATATGAGCGACTTACACAGTGATGATAACTGCTTTTTGTCTAATCACTGTGCAAAACCCTTTCTGTCATCTAAAATGACCTGCAGAACATTCATCCCAGACAATGTGGGTCGTCGGATCATTGCAGTATGCCAGTCCAACCGCCACTTCAGCGTAACAGGTATCGGGAAGGTGATATTGTCACAGACACCTAGTTAAAGAACATCCTGGTTTTCAGTGGATATTCGGGCCATTGTCACTTCGTAATTAAACCAACTGTGAAATTAGTAGAATGCTCACAAATTTGGCAATTTTAATTTCAAGTCATCACATTTGTGGCACAGTTCCGATGAGGAGTCATGACCGATAAAGTCACATGGTTGAGAGTAAGAACAGATACTCACTGACAGTATTGGATATGGACTCCATTATGTAGCAAGTTGGCACAAGTATGAAATGATGAACCATTAGAATCTTATCGTGCGACTGGTTGGTGATGCGTTCGCCTCATAACTTGATGACTTATGCCTCGAAAGGTTACCGGATCTTTAGGCGTTTTCTGATGCAGAGCCCCAAAGCAGAGTGAAATGGCTGTTCTGTGAATCTTGGTTTTCAACAATCTTGCAGTTGATTTCGGTTTGTATCCAAGAAAATCCAAATCCAATTGCTTTTCCACAAACTTGACATCTGCACTACTTACCTGTTTGCAACTGGTGGTCGAGTTTTATTGTGCAAGCTTCAAATGTGGAACTAGTAATCTGGATATGTAACTGCACCCCGTAGGGTGACGCAAATCCGATTTCAAATCAAAATCAACACCCAGTTATCGGAACTCAAAGCTCTCATTTCTTCCTCATATGACACCAAAACTCCTCGCCTTCCATTTGGATCCCAATCAAAGATCTGGTGTGTGATGTCACTTGAATGTCTCAACAGCGTATGTTCAGTTCATATTCATTCCCTCCTACCTATTTATTGCTTGAGGAATATGTTGTTGGCTAGTTTACCGCCTGCCAGAATTCCTTGTTAATTATCACATTCGAACGGCTATCTGATCTGTATGAAGCAGTGAGGAAGTTTGTATCAGGCTGCTGGAAATGCGCCCGCCAAGTCTCTAAACTGTATAGAAGCACTGACTTGACATTAGTGTTGCGAACTCGAATCTTTGTTCCTGTATTGCGTTCTGTAAATCTTCTCACTGTTGCAGGTTAATGAACCCCTGATGCACACATGGTAAATGGAGACTACTACTTTCTTCAGATATCTCCCATAGGTGGTGTTTAATGTCAGTCAGGCATCTTCTTCACCTCTTTCTCTTTGCTGACGCTTCTGCCAACTTGTCAGTTTAAGCTTGTGAAACTCCAAGTTTCTGAAATCCTGTTCTTCCTTTTGTCGGCCTCCTCTCTCTCCATATTCTGCTTGACGATTCAGTCCACCACAGTCAGAAATGTCATTGGTGGTAGTGCGCAGCCTTATCCTACTCTTGTTTCCAGTTCAAGTGCTTCTCTGAGCTTTACTTTGTGAATTACTTGACATGCGGCAGCATCATACAGCTGATGAACAAGGTTTATAAAGTATCGGGGCACTGTGTAGTGTTGAAGCAGTTTTCAGTTCACTTCACAGTCGACGATTTCGAAGTCTGTCTGAAAGTCGGTGAAGTCAAGGTAAAGAGTTGACTGCCATTCTAGGCTCTGCTCGACGATAGTGCTTGTTATTGCTATTCGGTCCGTGTATCACGTGTTTCTGCTGAATCAAATGTGTTCCTAGCATCCTTTACTTTGCCTTGGGTGGACAGTAGCATAATGCTAAGCCAATTACTGCATAGAGTTCAGACACTTATCAGTCTCTTTCGATCTCCAGGGTTCTTTCTTCCTGACTCGCTTTGTGCATGAGCATGCCCACTGACGTCTCTGGATCTATTTTCAGTGCTTCTAGGGAAACACCATCTGGTGTTGCAGCTTCTTCCACTTTCAGTAACTATGTGGTATCCAAGACTTCTGTTGTTAAATGATTGGTGTTCACTAGCATTTCTGGGGTTGTTGGTCGTATTTCTGAAAGAAATGATGGTGGTGGCTATGTCAAGAGTTCTTTGAAGTTATCTGCACAGAGTTTCCTTTGTTTCCCTTCGATATCTTTTATTCGTTTCATCTGTTCTGATCTCCCTCGGGATAGCGACCTGGTTATGTGGTATAATTCTCTGTGGCCTGTTTTACCTTCAGACTATACTGCTTCAGTTGTTAGGGTGTCGTAAAACTATGTCATGTTTTTCCTAGCACACTTCTTTACTACTTTATTCAGTGAGGTATAGATTAAACATCATCCATCCTTTCGTTTTTTGTCTTTGCTCTGGTTTATCTTCTGTTTCATCATCTTCTCTCCTCTATTGGCTTTCGCGTGTCCATAGAGAGCAATTACCTCCCTTGCCTCTTCCCTCCCAGGTTTCAATACATCTCTTCTTCACAGATTTCCAATGTTCTCCCAGTCAGGATCCTCAGTGATGTTGTTTGATGCCTACATCTGTCTACTTTTGACTGCACTGAAGATGTCCCTTGTGGTTTCGTCCTTCAGTTTATGGGTGTTGAACTTAAATTGTGGTCTATCTCCAGCTTTTTTGTGGACTTTCAACTTGATCTATAAAATATTCTATTGTGATTTTCCTTCATTTGTGTTCAGTCTTGCTATCACTGATGCTGAAGGAGATCGGTTACAACTGCATGAGAAAGCCATGGACGGTGTTGATAAAACACCATGTTAGTTACACTCTTAGTGTATTCGTGGTTGACGTTTGGATTACTGGAAGAAAGATTATTGTCTTGATAGTTAACAATCTGGAGGGTCCACTTCCACGCCATTGGCTTTCAAACGTTTCCTAACACTTCTGTACCACATCTTCTCATTTCTCTTGCAATATGAACAGTCTTGGCAGCCAGCTGGCTTCAAACATGCAACAGATATTCCATATCCCTATGCTTACTTTTTGATTTCATCGAAATAAGACACATCGACCGACTGTCTTCCTGAAGACTTCCTCAAACTGGTGTCATCCATCCTCACGCTTAAGAGTATCTCCAATTACAGAAGAAGAAAAGTTTTTTTCCTCTGTGAGTTGAAGCTGAAGTAGCTACGCCTAGATTCTCACTCTTTTTTCCGGGATTAGTTGATTTTAGATGACTGACTGAGTTTTAAAGTAGAACTTTGCACAGAAGTGCAGCAGCTGAAGTTGCCACACACTCCATGTGTCTTACAAAAGTGGAGGAGGAAGAAATTGAATAAAAATTACAATGAGCACAATAGTGCGGAAGAAAGAATAGTAGCATTGAAGAACACATTGGTTTAATAAATGTGGGAGGTTACAAACAATGAATTCATCTTTGCCACTGACACAACGTTATCCAGACTTAGTTGCTGGCTAATGATGTATGTGAAATGGAAATGTTGATGATGGTTTTGACGAGAACCCCAATCGTCTTATCCACCTACGTTCCAAAACAACAACCATCATCGAAAGGATTGAAAAAAATCACTTTTATGGGTGCTCTGGGAAATCTGTCTTAAAGTTATTGACGTGTGCTCACCGGATTGGTACTGAAGGTTCTGATGTTTGCAAATTCGTTTGACCGAAGTTAATAAACATTTCTTCGAAGATACCAGTGAAAATATTTGGAGCTCCTATCCTTTCGACTGATAAAGAAGATAGCTGCTGACAGAAAGAAGTTTCTTTCCGTGACCTGCAAATCCACTGTCTCGTTTCAACTATTTGTTCTTAATAATCAATATTCGAGTATTCGACAATAAGATTGGGACATATAATTGTCTCTTCACCTTTGCGTGAACCACTGGTATTCTATACTATTTCTAGGAATCAGTTGCCTCCTGAGTGAGACTATTACTTATTTATTGCGTGAAGACTGATTATACTATACTCTCCAGTTGTTAATTCTATAAATAAGTTTATTTCCTCTTCTCTCAGGATCCGTTATTACCCGTACACTGAAAGAGGTTTAAATTGGTTACGTTGGACTCTGAAGAAGTCAGAAAGCAATGGATGCCAAATATTGTAATTCAGCAAAGTGATGTCGCATAATTATAACAACCCTGAGCAATTCTAATCTATTTTCCTTATAATTGATTTTATTATCATATACTTTAATACCAACTAGTCTGAGTTAAAAATATATATATATATATTTTTTAACTTTTTGATTGTGAACAAATGACTTTAAGTGACCATTATACATCTTTTGAATATTTCTAATATATTGCATATTTTGTGTTACTATGTGGAATTTGCAGTGGTCGTAATTTGTGACCAAGACATTTTGTATTATTATCGTTAAGCTTCATTAGGCTGTTTGCTAATTGCTCTGCTGGACTGATTCGCTAGACGGATCATGAATGTTTTCAAACAATTCTTGCAGTTCACTAGCACATATAATACTTGTGAATGCTAGAGTTTAATAATAACAATAATAATAATCACTTTATTCCAAACAATAATAATCATACAGAATGGAATTTTCAGCGTTTTTATGCATATTGCAACAATTTAGCTCCTTTTATAAATATATATATACTATATAAAATAGTAATAATAATAATGATAATGAATTCACTATAAAAAGAATCCCGACCAATAGCTGCTACCTTGACGTGGTGGTCGGGCTTGCATATCACAATAACCCAACGAGCTACACCGGGTGGAACTTATGTTCCTATAGGTCCTACCATACCAGAAAGGTTGTTTGGATAGCGGTTAGACAAAAAGCAGCTACCCAATCCAATACTATGACTCAAACAAACTTACAAAATATCATGTCGGGGCCCAGATTAACAACGACCGCGCTTCCTGCTGCTGTATCACAGGGCAGAAGTGACAAATCTGCTACTGAGACACACCAAACAAGAAAAAACAACCATAATCAGGCCGCGTGTGACCGGCCTTAAGCAGTTGTCCCCTGGGCTCTGCGGTCACGAAACACTTACCTTCTCTCTCTCCCCTTCTCAGGCGTGAGGCTAGATACCACACCCTCTAAAAAAAGCTGCTAAAAAATCTTCAGCACGACGAATCTCCTTGCGCCAAAAGAAAAAGTCTGTGTGGGGACATGGAATGTCCACACCATGTACGAGATTGGCAAAGCTGCCCAGATCGCAAATGAAATGAAAAGATACGGAATTCAAGTACTAGGGATATGCGAAAGCAGATAGAACGGGAATGGACTCGCCAATTTGTCAACGGGTGAGTCAGTGATCTATTCTGGTCACCCGGAGGATAACCACATGCACATCGAGGGCGTGGCTATCATGATGTCACCAACGGCAACGAAGACCCTGATGCAATGGGAGGCGATCTCGCCCAGGATAATGACCACCAGATTCAACTCCAAAGGAAGGAAGGTGTCAATTATACAATGCTATGCACCCACAAACAACGCAGACCTCGAAAAGATAGAAGAATTCTAGAGACAACTACAGGCAACAATGGACAATACTCCAGCTGGTGACATTAAAATACTAATGGGAGACATGAACGCCAAACTGGGATCAGACAACACAGGAAGGAAACTCATCATGGGTAGAGAAGCTCTCGGAGAAATGAATGAAAACGGAGAACTCTTCGCCGACTTCTGCGCCTTCAATGAACTAGTGACTGGCGGCAGCGTATACAAACACAAGGATATCCATAAGGCTACATGGGTGTCACCAGATGGGCGAACCAGAAAACAAATTGACTTCATCTCAATCTCGAGGAAGTGGAGGCGCAGCCAACTGGACACGAAAGTAAGAAGACGTTGGTTCAGACCACTATCTCGTACAAGGGACAATCCAAATCAAATCAAAAGCTTTCAGAGAAACAGGAGCTGCAGATAGACCACAAGCCAAGTTCAACACTCGAAAACTGAAGGACCAAGACACAAAGGACATCTTCACTGCAAGCATAAAGGACAAGGCCGAGACACAAATCTACACTAGCGAAGAGGTCAGCGTCGAAAAGCACTGGAACAACTTGAAGACAGTGTGGAGTCAGACCTGCATGGAAGTTCTAGGCAGAAAGAAGAGACAGGACAAACAGTGGCTCACTACGGACACTTGTAGACTGAGAGAAGAGAGAAGGATGGTGAAACTAAAGATTACACAGTGCACCGACGAGTAACAAAAACAGGATTTGAATGCAAACTACAAAACACTGAACAAAAGAGTAAAGAAGAGTGCCAGAGAAGAAAAAAGAAGGTATTATGAAACCAGGGCAAGTGAAACAGAACAAGCTGCAGGCAAAGGAGACCTCGCAACACTCTACCAAACAACTAGGTACCTATCGGGCAAAAGTTTGACACAAATTAAGCCAGTGAAGGATGACAATGGAAAGTCACTCACCAAAGAAGTGGAGCAAAGGAAACATTGGGCTGAACACTTCAAAAGACTCCTAAATCGACCACCACCTACAACGTGCCCAACAATACCAACGACGGAGACAGAACTACCAGTGAACACCAACCCCCGGACGAAATCAGAAGTCCTGAAGGCAATCAAGATGCGAAAAGCTGGAAAAGCAGTAGGACCAGATGGAATCCAAGCAGAAGCATTGAAAATGGACCCAGAGACAACAGGGAACTTGATGATGCCACTACTGGAGAAGGTGTGGAAAGAAGGCAAAGTACCTGGGGATTGGAAGAAAGGATACTTATTCAAACTACCAAAAAAAGGAGACTTAAGTCAATGCAAGAACTGGCGCGGAATTAGGCTCCTGTCCATCCCAAGCAAAATACTAAGCCGCATCATCCTGGAGAGAATCAAACATGCTCTAGATGAAAAACTTCGACCGGAACAGGCTGGGTGTAGGCCAATTGAACTGCTCCTCATAATGTTCTTTCTAGCGTTCCAGTCGTCTATCCTGGGAGCTAATAATGGTGCCATTTTTCTCCGAGATTGTTTCGCTTATCATTTGGCTTTTGCCACCTCTTTCCCTGATAAGCCTGAATAGTTGTGTGGTGTTGCCAATCGCCGATGCCTTTTTTATCTCTTTCGCTTTTGTCGCCCACCACTGTTCACGGTCGTTGCGAAGACTTTATTAGTCTTCGTTTAAGTATCTTTCGCTCCTCATCATAATGGGAGCTCTCTGGAATCAGTCTTCTTGCGTCAATCAGTTCAAGTGAGGCGGTAGAAATCCAATGGCCCTTACTAACTCTAGGTTTTAGTTTATTAGCAGCTGTGTCTACAGCTTACTGTATGTTGTGCCAGGCTACCTCGGGGGAAGTCCTGCTGTCGACCTCGCTATTTCTTCCTTAAATAAGGACTCACTGTCTCGATCTAGTCGGGGACGTAACTGTTTTGCTGCCGTCAATTTCTTATGTCCATTTAATCGTAAGCATAAATGTGGGTATATTTTGAAGATGTAAACATGCTTATTGTTACAGAAGAGTTGAGTATGATAAAAAGAATATAAGTTAGCAATACGGCACGAGTATTTCTCGTATATGAAGTTAACTTATCCCCCAGGATGTTTGATCCACCTCAAATTACAGTAATTGCTGTTTGATTTAATGGGATTCATTGGTTCAGACTAATGAAGTACACCTCTTCATGTGAGAAGGATATTCAACCAACATGAGGAGTGATTTCGTTCAATCTCAAGTAGCAATTATAAATTTCTTAGATATTGGTTTGTAGGTATTTGATTGATTTCGTGGTGTAAGACATGGCCACTGAAAGTGGAAGTGGCTATCTTTGATCATAGGTGTCTGCATTCTGTCTCCCGTGTTAAGTGACATAATAGGGTGAGGAATACTGAGGTTAGGTCGAGTGCTTGGTAAGGACAGGAAATCAATCGACGAGGTTATGAAGTTACACAGATTGAGATGGTTCGGACATGTGTTACTCATGCCCGACCATCGATCGCCTTCCTCGACTGGCAATGTTAGCTGACTATCATAGGATTGATCAGGTTTGAAAAGAAGTAGCTAGTGATGGTCAGACCGAAACATGGCAGCAACAGTCAATGAAATCCATAAGAGTTAGTTTAAGTCAGCCTTCTAGGGAGGTGTAGACCGGCTTCTTGACTGGTTGGGTTCCTCGGGATGGTAAAAACCCATGGAGGCTGGAGACAATTTTTGATATGGTTCAAAATCGTTGTCAGCCGCTAGCTCAGATGCATATACTCTTTGTGATTTGTAATATCCAGTACGATTCAATTGACCCTCCACATTTTTATTCTTTTTGCTCCATATTTCTGTTTATTATCTCTGTCTACTTTGAATCTCTCTTGCTTTGTGTGCTACATGGGGGAGTGTGGCACCTCGAACAGGTGCACATCTGCGCAAAGTTAAACGCTGAAACCAATCCGTCAAATTTTGTGCTGTATTCTGTTACGAATCATTGGAAACTGCTGATTACTAGACAACAGCTTAGTATTATTCTAGGTCAACATCATGCTGCTAGGGGTAACGATTTATTCAGTGCCCAAGCACGAAACTAACTTACCATGCATTAAATTGTGATAAAGTTTGGAAAATTAATGCACTTTTTGTGACTTCTTTTACTACTCAAGAAGAATTTCCAGTAGTTTATCAATCAGGCTCGAATGAATTTGACAATTGCTTCAACACTTGCCAACCGATAGCTGGCAGCTTGACATGGTGGGTGGCTTTTCTAATATCTCGAAGTGACTGTCAGAACTAATACATAAGTAAAGTAGATTAATGGGGCACAAAGACAGCAAAATGTTTGCTAGCAAATCTTAGTAAGATGAAGAATCTGGAAAAAAAGTTCAACATGCAGTTATACACAGCCATACAATCGAATAGGTCAAGGGGAGGGTGCTAAAATCAGCATGCAGGGAGATCTTAATAAGAAAATTTTTTTATCGAATCCAATCATCATTGTTTTCAAGTTGATATTTCCCGGGCTCTACAGAAATACCGATTTGAGACTATTCTATTCACAACCTTCAAGAAAGCACCTTATTTCATCTTTACTACTCAATTCCAAATTGGAATACTTAGTCGCACATTTCATCCTACTTGTTTTGACTTCATAACCTTTGCTAATCAGTCAAGTGAGCAAGACTAATTCAGTGTTTTCTTAAAAGAACAATGTTGAACTTACACTGATGCTTCCAAACACAATTCTAATTAGACTAGCTAGCCATGAACTGTGACACCTCTGGCTGTGAGTACATATTTTAACTCAGATGCCCATATAAGACATTGTAGGCCGGTTAATATATTGACCAAATCTAAATATTACGGTATGTCAAAGAATGCTACAAACAATTCTGAAGCAAGCTCTTATGTGGCAAGCTTATAGATGTAATCATTTGGATTATATTTGGGAGAGACTTCAAAAGTCTGACATAACAAAGTTATCTTGAAGAAGCCTGATGTAGATATAGTGACGGCTGATAACTCCTAATTAAAAGGAAGCATTAGTCAATGAACTTCTGCAGTCTCATCCAGTATGAGCTATTTAGTGTAAACTGAAAGGGATTATGAATAGTGCTGTATGCTGAAAGAAGCATAATTAGCAAAGTATCGGCACTATGTAATATCCATCAACCGTTTA